CCATTTGGAGTCAAATGGATTAATAAATAATGGCATAATTAAATAATAAAAAAATAAAATAAATAACTATGAAATGTAAGTAGTATTTTTATTAATGATGAAAATGGAATGCCAAATTCAATATCTACCTAGAAATTAAATGATATCATAGTCAAATAATAAAATTTTTAATAATAAAAAAATACAAAGAATCACAAAAATAAAAAATAGAAAAAAAATTGGGCACATATCTAATGTTATATATTTATAAAAAAATAAATTATTGGGTACATCTCTAATATTGTACATTCATTATATTGAACAAAAATAAATTTTATACATAAGAAATAATTTTATCAATGATTGAAATGTAATACAAAATTTAATGTCAACCTAGAAATCAGACAATTTTTATTTTTAGATGGTGGATTAATGGTTTGAGTAAAATGATACCATAGACAAACAAAAATTAAGTGTAATAAGCAAAAAGTATTTTATATAATGTAAATGAAATATATAATTTAAATGAAAAATATAGTCAAAGTAAATTGTACATTTAAAATTAGGTTGTAGGTTGGTTCAGAAACCAAAAAACCTCTAACAACCGACTTTACATTTCAAATTATAAAAATCCACGCCATGTCATCAGAGGTTTATGTGACTTGCCAAAATGGGACTATTATTCCATGTTGGGCACAACAAAAAACCTATAATGAATATAGGTTTTCAGTTTCTCTCACACTCCCTTTGTTTCTCGATCTCCCTCCCTTCTCTCTCACTTTCACATTCATCTCTTGATCTCCCTCCCCCACTCTCTCAGCTTCGATCTATAGCCAAATCAAAATATCGCTCTCTCTCTTTCTCTCTTGTTCTTCCTAAATTTTTTTCATTTTTCTCCCTCTCGGTCAATATCTCCTTCTTCGTTAATCTCTATTGTTCTCCAATTGGTAAGAATTTCATAGCCAAGAGTTTCTTGTGAATTTGTATCAAATTGGTGTAATAATTTTTGAACCATACCAAGTTGGTCTCATGTTCTTTTATACAGTTTAATTAATACAATATAAGTGTGTAAGAAAATAAAAAAAATGAGAAAGGAAGCGAGAGAGAAACTGAGGATAACGAAAGAAATTAAGGGAGAAAGAAAAATTGACCAAGAAAGAGAATGAGAGAGATTAAGGGAGAACGATAAGTAGAGAGAGAAAATAAGAGAAATTGATATAGATAACGTAAATACATAAACCAAAAACCATTTTTATTTATTTTCAAATCACATAGTCGTTGAGCATATAAAGATGACTTTGAGTGAGAGAGAGAGAGAGAGAGAGAGAAAGAGATTAATTTTTTTTTTCCAATTACCCAACATTAAAGGACAATTTCAATATAAGCTTTTTTTTGTGTCCAATATGGATTAAAAGTCCCGTGTTGTCAGCAACCACATAACCCTCCGATGACATAGCGAGGGTATTTATAATTTGAAATGTATAGCCAGCTCCAACGATAATTTGAAATGACTATAATTTGAAATGTATAGTCCCATGTTGTAGCCTAATTTTAAATGTACAGCCAACTCCAATGATAATTTTCCCTAATTTAAAACTAATCCAAAAGTAATGCTATTTTCTTATCTAGATGGTGGGTTAATGATCAAACTTTTCAAAGAAACCCATGATGTCATAATTGAATAATAAATATTTAAGTTTATTTTTATTCATATTGTTACTTTTGTTAATTTTCAATTTCTATCTTAACTATGATATATCTAAAATTCAAGTAATTAATATGAAGAAAATTTTCTCACATGCAACACATGTGCTTAATTACTAGTAATAGAGAAAAAGAACAGAGAAGAAAGGAAAGAGAGAAAAAGAGAGAAAGAAGAGAAAGAGAGATAGGAGAGACAGTTTGGTTTGAATGAGAGAAAAACTACTATATCTAATAGGCTTGATATTATTTATATGTTTCTAATTAGAGTTATAAAGATAGTTATGCCCCGGACAAAACACTTTAAATAAATCATAAAAGACATTACACTTAATGTACGATAAAAAGACCAAACTATTGAGAGCCAACTCTAACACAAACCAACCCAATGGTCCAAGCTATCAAAATAACCTTTTAAGATCGATGAATTAACCATAATCATCCAAGTGATTCACTAAGAGTTAAGGTTTGTTTGTTTCCTCTTAACTCTTATCTCTTAAGAGGAATCTTTTAACTTTAAGAGAAAAGTGGTTGTTCGTTTTCTCTTATCTCTTATCTCTTAAAGTGCAATCAAATAACTTTTTATTTTCAATGATGCCCCCCAAAAAGACAAACAAAAACTCTCATATATGGTGTCAAAATGGATATTTGATCATTTTCAGAATTCAGAATTCAGAACAACATTCTCTGCATTTAGAGTTCAAAGAAAAAGAAAAATTCACCAATACCAACACACCTCTTAATATAATTAGTGCACTTTCAAATGTCAGACTTAAGAACAAACGAACAAGCCCTTGGATTACTATTGACAATCCAAATAATGTATCAAATCAAATAAAAAAGTATAGTCTATCGAATTGCTCTCTTACCTTCTAAGCACCAAAGGTTTCAACCAATTTTGTTCATTGTATAGTAAATTTTCTAAAGGATCCAAGACAAATAACGCCGTACAAAATAAAAACCATAGATTTAGAACATCAAAATTGCCTACGTTAATTAATCTAAGCCTAAATAATGTACGAAGATTTTCAACTATCTAGTTCATCCAAATGATGTATCAAATCCCCCAAAAAAATGATGTACCAAATCCCCAAAGATCTAGCCCATCAAAGTAACTTATTAAGAATAATTACTTGATCTCAACCATCAAGTGATGTACCATTATTTCAACTAACCTACACCAAAATAAATCAAGAGTATATGAAAAAAATGCTCTCCTAAAAAGCAACAGATTAATCTTTGTTATTCAAGTACTATAATAATACTTTTCAACTAATATGGGTCCTTCAAATCTGATACAAGATGGTCGGTCCATATTGGTTGGTATCAACTGATAGTCTGATACATATTTAGAGGTGTTCATGGGTAGGGTTGGATCGGTTTATTGGGGTTTTCTCAACCGACCCGACCTGGTCGGGTTACCTAAGGTGAAAATCGAAACCGACTCACTGATAGGCCAAACCGACCTGATCGGTTTGAGTCAGGATGGGTCGGTTTCAGTTTTGCTCCTGTACAAAAGGACACCTAATTGAATTCTAATTATAATTGCCTAATGGGTTGCCTATTTAGTGTAAAAGATTATAGAAAATTAGAAACTATGATAGATTGCATATTCTAATTGTAATTGCCTAATGGGACTTCTAGTTCTAGTAGAAGACTAGTTATAGTTAAGTAGGAAACTACTCAAACTAGGAACTACCGAACTAGTAGAAGACTAGTTCGGTTCAGGTCGGGTTGGTTTCGGTTTTCACACAAGAAAACTGAAACCGGCCCGATATATCGATTTATATATTTGCCCAACCCGAAACCGACCGGTACTGATGAAAACCCGACCGACTCGGGTTGGGTCGGTCGGGTTGGTCGGATTGAGCATTCTTATGAACAGCCCTAATAAATATGCACTAGTCTGTATCAATCCATTTCGGTCGACATCAATTATGCTGATTTAAATGTCCATTAATTACAAACTAGTCCTTTTGAAATTTAGATTTAAATCTCCATTAATTACACGATTGATTATTGCCATTAATTATGCTATATGAATGTTCAACCAAAGAAAAGAATGATCATTAAAATCAGTATTTTGCATTAACAAAATAATTATTTTATGAATTTGCAATATAATATGTATCTGAGAAATTATAATGTTTCTATAAACTATTAATTTAATTTACAATAAATAACACAATATTTTGTTATTTGTAGAAATAAAAATATTATTTATAAAATATTTAGAACTTAAGAGTACGCTGCTTTATTTTTTTGCTAATATACAAATATAAAATAATAAAATGAAAAATTACTGATTTGATAATCAAGATATAAAAATTGTGTGTGATTTGTCTTGGATATTCTACATTGTCATGAATGTTATGTACTTTTTAGATTAATTATGCATTTAACTAATTAATAGTTTAACATAAATAAATAATAACATATTAACGACTTCATACATGTAGTAATGTGAAAAAATTTAAACAGTACACCTTGGATTTTTGATTGATGCAATACCAGCAAAGTTATATGATATTTGTATCTTGATATTAATTTATTTCTTTATATAACCTATTAAAGTATGCATTTCTTATGTATTTACCTAATACGCCATGTCTACATTTATCCCAAGTGTATCATGATATGCATCCATATCCAAGTGTTACCAATATGATATGTACTTATATTTTGAACTTTGGGCATACATACCCAAGAACTTTCCTAAGGCTGTGTTTGTAACGAGTGCAAACATAAATTCCAATAAAGCATATGCTTTTTTTTTATCAAAAGCCCACTTGAATGCAAATTTACTTTTTATTGATGTACTTTTACATCTTATTATCAATGTAAATATACATTGGTCTGTCATTTGTCAATGCATAGATGTAAAATGTTTCCAAACACAGGAAAAAGTGAACCAGAGTGCAAATTTACCCTGAACCGGGATTTACACTCCATTTGCATCATTTCCAAACACAGCCCAAGGCTCTGTCTGGAGTGCAAATCTAAACCAAATACAAATTTTGCACCTAGTTTAGTTTTGCATCCATTTGTTTTAACCATTGCTCAGTTTGGAAGGAATACAAATACAAATATGAGAGTGCAAAACCTTGTATTTTGTATTATTTTGCATGTCTTTGTATTGTACATATTTGTATTTGTACTCTTTCCCTACTGAGCGTGGTATATGCTTTATAGCTGCTACAAAATTTACATTTTGCCTCATTTGCAGTCATTGGCAATGCAAATTTTGCATTTAAATCACAACCCTTCTACCTTAATTCTCTGGCATATAAAGTTGGGATCATATCATTTTGCCCCCTACCTTAGTCTGCCCAAAAGAAAAGTGAGGGCCACATCATTTTACTTCTCACAGAAAAAACAAGACAGTCAAATCCAAAGCAAAAGTAAACACAGATTTTGGACTCCACTGAGCCTATAAAAGGAAATAGAAACATTTAATCGGTTAATCCAATTAAGCAATATAAGAGATACTACACATGGGGGGCGGNACTTGTTAAAGATAAGCACGTTGCATTTCAGGGAATGAAAACAATCTGTACACTGGGCAGCTTATCTCGAACAATGATTCATCTCCAAATTATATGTTTCAATTCCAAAAAGTATCTTCCTTTCCTTGTGTAGAAAATCACATGCATAAAAATCTGATCAAAGGTGTCCAACTTCACCTGAAATCATTGATATGGAAACTGGATTTTACTACTCCTAAAGCTTGAGAAGCTAAGTGCACAACCAAAATAAGCACCTGAATGAAGGGACCACCTATAAAAAAGTTGAAAAAAACATAATAAAGAAAAATATGCAAATCTAAAACTTGAAAGAAACATAAGCTTCTCAACTTAATTGGTTAGAGTGTTCCATTGTTATCATGAAGATTGAAGAGGGCGTATAGGCTAAACTATTAACTCAAAAAATCAGAGCCATGACCTGCGATATGGACAATTACCTTTTAAACATCAAGTTCAATGCTAATACAACAAGCATAGCAACAAGCCAAGTGAGTCTGAAGACTCTGAACCCACAAAATTAAATCTTGCCTATGAGCCCAAGATTGCCAGAGACATTGACATTTAACACAAGCATCTCCAAGGAACCTTCTTGAAGTACTCCATTGAATTGCATTTGATCAAACCCCTCGATCAAAAGTGACGCGAGCTATCTAGTAGCTGCAGTATTAAAGCTAAATAGGAGGACCATGATCTCAACCCAGGCGAAATCACATTTGCCATTGGGGCACCATGTCAATCATCCATCTCGGTATGCTCATTCAGAGGATCCTTGTTACAATTTTTTTCAAACAAATTATCTGATAACATACTAATATTAATTCTTATAAAAATTTTCAAGTTGATTTATATGCATCTATCACATGACAGAGACAGCTGAAATACATCCACTTGCTCTAATTCCAATAGGAAATACTGGTATGGTCAACGCAGTGGAACAATGATTAATTGGTTTGGCCTTCCTGTTCAATTTGTCAACTATTTGGGGCCGGGAACTGACTACTCGATCATGTCCCTGTTTTTCAAATTGCAAATGGTAAGAAAAAAGGCAGGCCAATATCCTAATATAGGGTAGAGATGGTCTTAATTGTTTAGAGAGAAAAAAAAAAGACCTTGACATCAGGGATACGCTTCCAGCAAGCCTAACGCAAAAGGTTCTTGAGGCATATGCCTTAAAAGGCATCAATGCCTCGAACATGTACCTCAGGGTGTTTTGGGGCACCTCGCCGCGACTCCAGGCAAACACCTCCCTTACCTTTTAGAACAATGTTTTTAACAGGAGTCAGCATCTTTCAGCATTTAGCAATACTTCTGGTGATTCATATTTCACAAAGGCCAAGGTGCTCTCTCCTTACAGGTATGTGGATTGTCAACAGTCTTACCTCACTTTGGGTACTCGAGTCAATGTGGTTCGGTGGAGACAGAGAACTGAGAGGGGCCTATGGTGCTTAAATAACTACCTCAACAACATTAGAGAGATTTCTCAGTTCAGATTAGATTGATACCTTGGGAAAAGAACTCCAGAGGATGATGGACTTCTAGGTCAGGAGTGGAGAGGGAATGTTTATATAAAAACCAGTGTTTTAAAAGGCATGGGAAGCGTACACCTGGAGGCGCACCTCCAGGTGAGGTGCCCCAAAATGCCCTGAGGCATATGCCAGAGGTGTTGATTTTGAGACTGGAGAGGATCAGAACAAGGAACAGGTTGAAAGGGCTGTAACAAGCCTTTCAATTTGATAATATTGATTGAAAATACGCTTATACGCCAAAAAATCCCTTACTGATCTGCCCCTTTTCTTTATATAGGCTGATAACCAAGAAGCTTGCCTTGCAAGCCACATTAAAGAAACTTGCAGCCCAAGCCACAAAAGACAACAAAACATTTAAGCTATAAAATTACAGAAAGACCCTCGGAGAAAACACAAATAACAAAAGACCCCCATGGCTACAATCTGCTAAAGTAACCCGTGAACAGTGATATTACAGTACTACGGGCTGTGTTGTCTTCATGCTCCTGCACCAATCTCCCGGGGGTGAGAAGAACTCGGCCCTGACTAGTATACTTGCTGGAACTCGGTGTACATTGCTGGATCAAGTCATTTCAATTCCTTTTCTGCAACCCATGTTCTTTCTGCTACTAGCTTTCCTAGCCATTTCACCAAAACCCTTCGGTACTGATTTCCCCTACAGGATGGAACCTCCTTAATATCTAGGATGTCTTCAATAACTTCAGGTAGTTTCACTGGCAGCTGCTCTGGTCCAGATACTACAATTTCTTCATCTCCATCAAATCCTTCATAAGAAGACAAATCTGTAACATTAAAGATTGGACTAATTTGCAAGTGATCTGGTAGATCTATAACATAGGCATTGTTTCTTATCTTCTTTATTATTTTGCATGGCCCAAACTTCTTCTAAATCAATTTGTATTTGCCCCTTGGAGATCTTTCTTTTCTTAGATACACCAATACCATATCTCCCTCTTGGAACTCCTTTAAGTGCTTATGAGAGTCAGCAACTTCTTTATAGAGCTCATTGCTGTACTCTATTGATTCACACACCTTCTTGTGAATCTTCTTTGTGTTCAGAAAAAGCCTCACCATCTTCATTCTCCGCAAGCCTTCTGTGGTAATGGAACAAGATCCAAAACATGTCATGGTTAATGGTGTAATTAACTGAGTCATCATAAGAAAACTCAACTTGGTGGAGGGCCTGATCCCATATCTTTACATGTTCTCCCACAATACTCTTTAGCATATTACCCAAACTTCTGTTAACAACCTCTGTTTGCTCATCAGTTTAGGGATGGCATGTACTGGAATACTTCAATTGGATCCCATAGATGTTGGCACCCCATGCAATCACAGAACTTTGAAGAACAAATATGCTACATGTAGGGATGAAAATGGATTGGATCATGATCCGGTCCGATCTGAGATCCGATCCTATTTTGTCGAATTCGGATCACCCCTGTTCGGATCTTTGGATCGGATGATAGGACCAGATCAGAAATCGAATCGGATTCGAATCATCCCCTATCCGATCCAAGAAGATTTGATCAGATATATATTATATATTTATAAATGTAAATATATATTATACATATATGTGTTATTTATTTATTTATAAGTATATTTTTTATATTATATTTTTATAAATTTGTTATATTATTTATTTGTTATAAAAACATGTATATATATGATGAAAATAAATAAATAATATTTGTATTTTTTGTTTTTACTTTATTTACATTAGCATAGTTTATTTTTCTTTTAATAATTTATTAATTTTTAAAGAAAACAAGTCGGATCGGATCAGATCCGAAGATCCAACTTACCGATAGGATTCGAATTCAAATTGAATCCTATCAGATCCGATCGGATCGGATCCGACATAAACAGTGTCGGATCGGATTTGAATATACCTTGATTCGAATCCAATCCGATCCATGTGCATCCCTAGCTACATGAGTAGCATCAGCTGTCTTAGAACATGGGATAAAGTGTGCCATCTTTGAAAAATGATCAACCACAACAAAAACTGAGTCATGTTCCCTTGCCATCTTTGGCAATCCTAACACAGTCCGTGCTTAGATGTACCCATGGGTGATTCCAGTACTGGTAATGGCATGTACAGACCTGTATTTTGTGATTGCCCCTATGGACAGTGTAGGAGGAAAAAAATTTAAGAATTTTTGAGGGAAAGAAAAGAAGCAAAGAATCACCAATAGAAAGCATCATGGTAAAGGTGGCACATTGGGTGAAATCATTGAGTTTATTCTCAAACTCTACTATTGATGATATAATCAGATCGTGGGGCACAGTGGCAGCTCCGTCATCCTCAAAAACAAAAATCCCAAGAGACTGGGTCCCTCCTGAAAATGGATTCCTCAAACTGAATTTCGACGGTAGTAGCTTGGTAACCCGGGGTATTAAGGGATGAAAATGGAGTAATCTTGGGTTTGTTCTCCGGACCACTTGGAGTAGGGGATTCAACTACAGCTGACTTGAAGGCAGTGATATTTTGGATTGGAAAATCTATGGAGTTGGGGGTAAGGAGACTGGTAGTTGAAGGAAACTCTAAAGTTGTCATAAGCTGGGTGAAGCGAACTGAGCAGACTCCATGGTGCTTCAAAAATAAAATCAGAAAGTTCAGGAGTATTTCAAAGGATATGCAGCTGGTTTTTCAATGGACCCCAAGATCAGCCAATGGTTTAGCAGATCAGTTAGAAAGGCGAGGGATAAACAGGCAACAGTGCTTTGGGCTAATTTGTAAAGTGAAAAGTTAAAGATTTCTAGTAACTGATGTCCTTTGATTCAGCCCGTGTGGGGTGCCGAGGCTACCTAAAAGCTGTAATCATTTATGTTTTATAAATAAATTTTTTATTACCGAAAAAAAAAAACACTGCAGCGTCTCAGGTCTCACTAATCTGTCCACGTTTCAGAACATATGAGGCCAGAAATAGCGACCAGACACCATAACCATTGTCTTATCTCTACCTAAATAACCTCCCAACCCTCCTCCATGCATCTCTCTTATGATTTGATCCCATAGTGAACCTTCGGGAATACATAATTGATTTCCCTTAAATAAATAACCTTCAAGCAAAACAAATGGAGAATCCTTCCTGCTGGTTGGTTCATCCAATTCCTTCAATGTGACTGAAAAAAAGGACCATTGCTGTATTGTGTTCTCAATTCTTCAAATCCAACTATTTGTACCTTCAAACTTGACAACAGAACAGATCTTTGGCTCAAAGCATCAGCCACCACATTTGACTTGTGCCTCAAAGAGAGAGAGAACTCCACTTGGCATGTCTAGGACTGAGCTTGTTTTTGTGAACTTTGATATCTAAAGGCCTGATGATCAGAATACACCACAAAATCTCGGTGTATTAGGTTTAGGTAGTGCCACCAATACTGTAGGGCTCTTACCAAAGCATAGAACTCCAAGTCATGTAGAGTATCTTGTCTTACATTCTGATTACTTTTCACTAAAATAAGCTATTGGTCTGCTCTCTTGGATAAGGACTGCACCAATTCCTACATGTGAAGAATCACGCTCCACAACAAAGACCTTTTCAAAATCTGCTAACATAAGGACGAGCTTCTGGCATGGATTTTTTATTCTTTGGAAGGCTTTCTCTGCTGCTCCAGTCCATGAAAAATGTCTCTGACTTGAGCATTGAGTAATGGGGTTCATAATGTTGCTGAAATTCCGAACGAACCTCCTATAGAAAGAGTTCAATCCATGGAAACTGCATATATTTCCCAGAGATTGTGGTGTAGGCCATTCAACAATAGCTTTCACCCTTTCAGTACCTAGTTGTAGCCCCTCATCTGAACCAATATACTCCAAAAATACTACTTTGTTACATGAGAATGAACACTTTTTAAGATTAATAAAGAACCTTTTCTTTGTGAAGAGTCTCCAAGCAGGCATAAGTGATCTAAGTGCTCTTCCTTACGATTGTAAACCAGAATGTCATCAAAATAAACTACAACAAATGAGTTCAAAAAGGGTTGTAGTCATGGCATGCATAAATGTGCTAGGAGCATTGGTTAACCCAAATGGCATCACCAACCATTCATAAAGACCATCTAGTGTCTTAAATGTTGTCCTCCACTCATCTCCACTCCTCATATGGATTTGGTGGTAACCAGATCTTAAGTCCAACTTGGAGAAAATTCTGGACCCTGACATCTGATCTGATCTGATCCAACATATCTAATCTGGGAATTGGAAACTAGTATTTTATGGTGATTTTGTTGATTATGCAACTGTCCACACACATCCTCCATGAGCTTTCTTTCTTTGGTGTAAGAAATGCTGGGACTGCACATGGGCTTTTGCTTTCACGAATCAACCCCTTTGCAATCAGGTCTTCCACTTGTCTTTTCACTTCAACCATTTGAGTAGGTGGCATACAGCAGGCAGGAAGATTTGGCAAGGTTGCACCTGGCACCAAATCTATAACATGCTGCACAATGCATAATGGAGGTAGACCACTTGGAAACTTCCCATTAACAAGCTTAACAAATTGTTCTAGCAATGGCTCCACTTCCTTAGGATTTTTTTATCAACTCATCCAGTTGGTTAGTAGCCATATAACTCCTATCAGCCAGCATATACATCACACCTGACTTCTTGCATTCCTCCTTAAATTTACAGGCTGAAAGGTAAATCTTACAAGGCAATGTGAAGTAATGGGAAACTCCATACCTTTTTGGAACCAAGCAACCTTGTAAGGTTGTGGATGTTTCTCCGTAGGCAGCTTTAGCTTTTCTACAACATCCTTAGAGATGATATTTTCACTGCTCCCTCCATTGAAAATCAGATTGCACACCTTTCCACCACAAGTAGCGCATGTGTGGAATATGCTTCGACGATGCCAATCCTCCTCTTCTTCACTCTTAGGGGATGTTCGCACTCTTCTCACCACCAAACTCTCACCTTGGGAAGGAAATACATCCACTTCTTCCTCTTCATCTCCATAGTCATCATACACAGGCTCTACAGGTTCATCTTCATCATCTCTTTCAACAAGATTAACTCTTCACTGTGGACATCAACTCAATAAAGGCTGAGCTTTTATACTGCTTCAGGGGCTAAAACTTGCCATTGGTCTACTAACAGGCTTAATGCTCCTTGGATTTATAGACATTACCTAAGGGAGATTGAAAGCTTAGCAACGGAACTCAATGCTTCTTTCACTTGGATCAGAAGGACTGAAAACGGGATGGCTGACTCAATTAACTGAAGGGAGTTTACAGAGCATTTTTTTGGGCTTACAATAACACATTGTGAAGTAACAACTGTATCTTCTGTTTTGTTGTAATGTTGTAACTTGTTCTCTCACTATTAATAAAATCAATCTTTCTTTGCTGATCAAAAGAAAAAAAGAAAAAAAAATAAAAAAAAAGAGGTGTGTCCCCTTTCCCTACATGTAAAACATATTGAGGGCATGCTAACATCCTTGGAAGATCCAGCACCTGTGCGACCAATTGCTGGTCTGGCAACTTCCCTACCTTTCTTGCATTCATCCATACCCTTGAACCCTGTCCGGCTGCCACCATAAGACCTCTGATTTGAATCTGCATCCATGAGTACAGCTGGGACTCTCCTTAACCTAACCTTCTGACTCTAGCTTCAGCCCAAAGGGCATGCTATTTAGCATCCTCCAGATTTGTGAGCCAAACCACCCCTATCTCATCTTGAATCGAGAAATTCAGGCCTGATAAATAATGGGCAGTAAGTTGATCATTAGTTTCTTGGAGGCCGACACGCACCAACAAGTTATTAAACTCATTTGAATAGTCCTCCACACCATGATTCCTTTGTTTCAACTCATGGAAGCACCAGTACCTGTCCCTTAAACAATCAGCAGGCAGGAACTGTTTCTGCATCTTTCTCTTCATGTCTTTCCCCATAGTTTTCAAGGCGCCAAGGCAAGGCTAGGCAACAGGGGGGCGCATTGTCGCCTAGGCGATGAATTTTTTTAAGTAAAAACATGTATCCTATGGTAGTTCCCTAGGTTCCATAATCATATTTCGTTAATAAATATCCATAATTTTCATAAGACAAGTATAAACTTCATGTTTAAGTATAGAAAATCAACATATTCCAACATATTCATGAGAAGAAAAAGAAGAAAGAAAAGAAAATTAGAAAAATATAGGGCCTGAACCCCTATTTCTGTTATAGGAAAAGAAGAAAAGAAAAGGTAGAAGAAGAAGAAGAAGAAGAAAAAGAAATTAGTATGTAAACACACAAAATGAATATTTTAGTTTAAAAAATGTCTATTATATAATTATAACCTCAAAAAAAAATAAGAATATAAAAGTTTGTTTATAACACGCTGTAGAAAACTATTTGGCAATTAGGCGAGGCGAGCCCCAAGGGTGCCTTGTCACCTAGGCATCGCCTTGACAACTATGGTCTTCCCACGATCTAATCTTTGCTTTTCCTTGATGAAAGCATACTTCCTCATCTCTCTTTTTTTTTTTTTTGATGAATACTTCCTCATCTCTCTTCCACCATTGAGAGCACCTCCCTTCAATTTTAGCTTAACAAACTGAACTTTTCTTTCATCTTACATCACCTTCCATTCAAAGAAATTCAACAGTTATCTCCCAATCTAAATAATCCTCAGCACTTGACATTCCATAAAAATCAGGTAATTCTACTTTAACTCCACCCATATTCAAGTCCAGAGCACTTACCAGTCTCTCCTCTAAACTCCCATGGTCTGGTTCATCTCTCCCTTAAAGATTATGAAAAGGATCAATATCCTCTTCATAATCAGATCCTTCATATTCTTCCTGGTCATCTTCCAGTACACCAACTGACCTCCAGTATCTCCATTCGGGCCTCCGCACATCACTGCCTTTGTGGTGCTTGCACTTGACGTAACAACTGTTCAATCATATGTCGCATCTCTAAAATCTCAGCTTGCTGTGCTTTCTGTCCTCTGCCTCCACAACCAGATCTTCCTCTTGCATCCATGGCAATGGATGAGTTTTCTCAAATAGCAAACTGATGTAGGGAGAGTATGGGAAGAGATAGATTTAGAGAATCAGGACGATCAGAACAAGGAACAGGTTGAAAGGGATGTAACAAGCCCTTCAATTTGATAATATTGATTGAAAATAAGCCAAAAAGTCCCTTACAGATCTGCCCCTTCTCTTTATATAGGCTGATAACCAAGAAACTTGCCTCGCAAGCCACATTAACGAAACTTGCAGCCCAAGCCATAAACTAAAAAGACAAACAAAAAGAAAAGTCCCTTACAGCTTCCTTCATGTTCCTGCACCATGAGGCGTACACCTCATATGCCTGTTCCATGAGGTGTGCTAGAGGCATATGCCCCGTGTGCCTCACATATACCTCATATAAAAAGACAAACAGAAAGAAAAAAAAAAGAAAAGAAAGGAAAGGAAAAAAAAGAAAGAGAGAAGAAAAAAAGAGAAAAGAAAGAAAAGAAAATGGAAGAGAAGGAAAGAGATGGGAAAAGAAAGTGAGCCAGGATCATGCCTTTCAGCTAAGTATCATGCATCTTCATTCTTCTTAATATAGAATAGTTTTATTCAAAATAAAGAAAAATGAGATCCTCCTCCCCCTCCTTCTTCCTCCTCTTAAGAAGGCTTATGCCTCCTTGTGTTCGGGAGGCTTATGCCTCCTTGTGTTCGGGAGGCTTATGCCACACACGTCTAGGTAGTGGAACGCCTTGCGTCATGCCTCCACATTTTAAAACATTGATAAAAACAGCTCTATGCTTAGTTTTGTTTTAATGGGGACTACCATTTTTTTGTATATTGATGTACATCATTTTACATGTACACACTTTTTCTTCTCAAAAACAGACTGGAAAGATATTACAAACAAAAATTCCCTGAATAAATACCATTCAATGCCTATTAAATTCATATATGTGAAAAGGAACCTCAAAAAGACATTAGAATCCACAACAAGATTAATATGATAGAACAAAAATTAAATAAAATAAAAAATATACCAAGTTGATCCTGAACTACCCACGTGTCCCTTTTAACAAAGGTAAGATTTTCATAAAGATCAAAACTACCCACATGAAATGCCATTATAAAAAATGCTTTACACATCAAGAAAACATGAAAACATTTAACCAGTACTAATATTGACTGAAAAGGTTTTGTGCAACTGAAGCCTAATAAATGTTAGCTAATACAGAGACCTAACAATTAGAATTCTCAAAGATATCTTAATCAAGATACTTGGACTGATTATGTTACAACAGAACATATTGAAGGAAAGACAAACCTGATAAGAAAGGAGCATAACACAATAAGCTACAAGAGCCACCTATTGCCAGGGTTGTGACAAAGAGACAGTAGCTATTGATGCATCAAGTCCTTGATCTTGATGTATAGCAGAGTTCAGCACATTGTATTGCTCAGTTACAGAACTATAGAGAGACTGTGAGAAGACCATCCTAGCCTGAAATTATAAGTAGGCTCATTTAGAACTGAACCAATACAGAATAAGGGCATGAAAATGAAGAAATCAATGATTGTTTAGTTCAAAGAATTGATTCAAAGAAATAAAAGCTACTTGTATCTATTACTTTGGAGTTAAAGTTCATATTTTATCAAAGAAACTCAGTGAATTGTATAAAATGCCATGCCTCCAAGATCATACACAAATACAAAATAAACAATAAAACTTTCCATCTACTACCACCACTACTGCAGTTACTGTGCTCTTACACTTTCAAATATGGTGAGAGTCCATTGGTAGCAGACTTCAGAAAAGTGCATATAGTTTCTTTGTTACCTCAATTGCTAACAACATTTTATTAAGGATCAAAAGATATGGGATTTGCATGCACATCTCCTTCAGGAGGAAGGAGTGGAACAACATAAGGAAAATGGTACAATCTCCTCCATGACCATAGTCCTATAGCAACATCTCAAAATGAGATCCATTTCATGTAGTGTTTCTCTTTCTAGCACACCTCACCATTATGCATCCCCAATGTGCTGTTGGGTTTATTTCTATTCGCTTGTCACCCTTTCCTCCCCATTTCTCTACAAAACATGAGAGAACCAGCAGCAGGTAGGAGACACCAATCTAATTGGACCATCTCTAAAGCAAGAAGTTAAACCCCACTTCCCTAACTGGGATCCATGACCATAAGAATTTGGCAAAAGGTTTGAATGCTGGCTGCCAACCTGACACAAGCCTCCTTTATCCAATTTTAGGACTGGCGGTGTAAGACAAGCTCTCATTGTTGAATTTGCAAATATGTATGTGAGCCTAATCAAGGATATGTGTGAGGATGCAACAATCAATATTAGAACGCTTGTGAGAGAGAAATCAGATTTTATAGTTAGAATGGGTCTTCACCAAGGCTCACAGCACTTAGTCCTTATTTATTTGCACTAGTCACAGATGAATTGACTAAAAATATTCAGGCTAATCTCCTGTCCATTGGCTTGTTGTATTTGGAATCGGTTCCTGACTCTTTTTGGTTGCAGGTGAGATCTCGTCAGCTTGGATAGGTCGTTTGATGTTTCAATGCTTTGATGCCCAAAAAAAGAGGTAGAATAATGTGAAAATCCACAGGAGCTACAATAGACTGGACGTTATGGGAGGAAAGAAATGCACAAATTTTCAAAGAGAAAGAATTGAGCAAGGAAGCCTTAATTGAAACTACTACTCTAAGGTCTTGTTTGTTTTCCAGGAAGTAGGGACAGGTAAGTTGGTGGGTCCCATGGAAAAGAAATAAACCCACGTTCATATTTCAGTATTAGTGGGTCCTATAGAAAAGAATGATTCCCGAATGGCTCATTTACTTGGGCAAGTAATACACTGCTGAGATTTGGGTAAATCACTTGCCCATCCTCATCGAAAATTGCTAATGCGTCATGGGACAATATTGTCCCTTCAATAATGTCATTTTTTATATAAACCGATCATTGTACAACTTTACTTGGGGAATAAAAGAGCACTGGTAAGTGAACTTATTTGGGTAAGTGTTTCCCAGGAAACACTAGTCCGGATAAGTGCATTTACCCAAGTAAATGACTTGCTAAGACGCAAAAATGACATGAGAGTTGCATATTGGGTGAGGACTTCATTCATTCATTTATTTATTCTGATTTCATAATGGACGATATACTTAGAGGGAGGGCAGTTGTGGCTTCATCTTCTAGAAAGATAAGAGTTACAAAGGAGTCGCCACCACCAGGCAGACGGTGGTGAAAGCTTTACTTTGATGGGAGTAGTGTGGGTAACCTGGAGCCATCTGGTATTGGAGGTGCAATAAGGGATGAGAGTGGAAGTATCCTTGCCAAGTGCAAAAAGGCTGGGTTAATGGGAGCGACCTTTGGTGTACAAAAAGCCAAGGAGATGTGAACTGAAAGACTAGTTATTGAAGGAGACTCCAAGGTGGTAATTAGTTGTCTTTTGGAGGAGGCAAAAGCTATGTGGTGCTTCATGAATGAAACCAAACAATTTAAATGGTTCTCATAAAACTTACAAATTCAAATTCATGAGTACAAAGGTCAACACATAGCTTGGTGTGTGTGTGTGTGTGTGTGTGTGTCTGTGTGTGTACCTATGGTGCATGTTGTTTGCTGATAATATAGTATTAATTAGTGAAACTAACAAAGGATTAAATGTAAAATTAGGTTTATGGACAAACACCTTAGAAACAAAAGGTTTTAAAATAAGTACAACTAAAAAATATATATATGCAATGTAGATTTAATAATGATAAAAGTAAAATCAAGAATCTTATGTCAATATAATTGGAGCAGGATGGGAAAACTAGAGGGGTGCACCTAGAGTCTTATGTCATAGGTGAATACTGCTTAGATTAAAAGGAAATTTCTATAAAACAATTGTAAGGACAACAATGCTGTATGGAGTAGAGTGTTGGGCAGCCAAGAAATAACATGTCCAAAAAATGAGATTGGAAAAATGCGTATGGGCCATATACTGAGATGGATTAGTGTAAAAACTAAAAGGGATAGGATCAGAAATGATGTCATTCAGAGAAACCTAGAGGTAGCTCCAATAGGTGATAAATGAGAGAAAGTAGACTAAAATGGTTTGTGTAGGCAGGGGGGGGTAAGGTGGCAGTATGAGGTCTTCCTAAAGGACGGAAGATGGCTTTCTTAGGGAAAGAAATAGTGGATGTAGGTTACAGAAGATTGAAGGAGGTGAAAGACATAGCAAGGAATGGTTTGTTCTCTCCAAAGACGTGAAGTGTGGAAAGCCTGGTCTTCATCTTATTTATAGGCATAGAGTTTTCTATCCGAATAGGAAGGTAACGTGATAAGGAAGGGGATCTTCCAATCATGGTAAGTTTGGTAGTCAGTTAGATATGGGAGAAGGGGTTCACAAGTAAGGTTTCACCATGTGTTGTCATGGGGATCTCAGGGTCAGAGGCCGATGCCTCCTTTTCCGGGTTCGCATGGGAACATGACTTTGGCTACAGCCCTGCTTCTAGAAGCCCTTTTCTGCCTTGGGTGAAACCAGGATGACTAGTTACTGCATTGTGCTATCTGAGTAGTGAAATATTTGCATCTTATCTTGGTGTGCCACACTGTTGCACTGGTGCCGTTGTGATGGTGTGGTGCTGTAGCGCAGATGGTTGCTGCACTATCACAGGTTGCGAGATGATTCCAGTCTTTATTGCATGCGCAGATTCCTGTGCATCAGGCTTTGATAGAGAATTGTTGTACGGACGTGGGGTTCCTGGTTGTTGTGGGTGTCTGTGCGTTTTCTTTTCTTTTCTTCTGTGCAGAAATCTCAATTTGGTTGTGTTAGGTGATGTGCCACAGACGTTTGTCTTAATGCCTCCGGCACATTCTTCTAGGGGGGCTAAGTCCATGTACTTATAGTTTGATCACGTGCATAGAAGACCATCTACAATACCCATAAGAAATAATTTAAGTGCTGATAATTTAACAATGGATATGACACTGAATAGAATGGAATGGCAAAACAGGATTCATGTAGCTGACCCATATAGTTTGGACAAGGCTTAGACGTTGAAAAAGAAAACAAAAATAAATAAATAGGAAGATGAGGAGATGATGAGTGTTTTAAAAGGAAAAGGAAACCAAAATGTGATGACATAAAAAAGGAGAAATTTTAAGAAATGACCTAATTACATTCATTTGGAACTTCAAAGCCTCAACAAAATTTTGAAAGATTTTTTTACTGTTTTAGAGCAGGTCAAAATGCATTTCAAAAATTGAATTTAAAGTGTTACACCAATTACCCAAGGATTAAGACTTATTTGATAATGACTAAAGTGGCTGAACTGAATTACTTATTGCTTTTTTCTTTTAGTGAATTAAATAATTAGATAATAAAATATTTGAGGATCTAGTACTCAACCCAACTTCAGCCATTAAGGAGTGCACCACCTCCTTAAAAATCTTATTCACAAAAAGAGAGAGCAATAAGTGATTGAGTCGTTCATTCAAGCTACTGCTGTTATCCACATCTATAATGTCTGTGGTTGATAAACATAGGTATAAACTACCCAATAAGAAATATAGTTCAGGGCTGAATATTACACATAAAAACCAGTTTCTCCTAATATCTACCAAGTGGTGTTGAGGCATTGAAGCAGTAGACAGGCAACCAGCGCCCCCGCCCCCCCCAAAAAAAAAAAATGAAGGGCTTCAGATTTCATTTTTCATGCAAATATAAGTTTCAATAGAATAGGAAGTCTTGAGGCACATTAATAAAAAGTTCATGGAAACAATGTTATAGTTATAAACTATGAGAAAATCAGAAACCTAGGATAAAAACTTGAGTAAATGATAAATAACCAACAATAGACAATATAACTTACCTTAAAGAGATGTGGAAGGTTATCTGGGAAAAGACACGTTATTTTTTTTTTATAGATGAAAAGACATGTTGCATGAGTTACATTTCAGTGACTTCTTAAGTTGTAAGTTTCAAGGTATAGCTGCAGAGGTGCAAGCATTGGCTAATGGCCCTCCCAACCCTGGATGGCTGGGACAAACATTGGGCTATGGCCCTTGCAGATGGTATTTTAAGTCAGCTAATTCCATGGCAAACAAGATGCTCTACTAGGGGTTGAAGTCCAAGAGCAAGCTTATGCCAGTTTCTTTTTTATTCTATGTAATGTATTCCCTGTTTTGCATTGCATTATTTGAAGGATATTCATTGTAGAGATTGATTGAACTTCTTTTCATCTATCATTGATCAGGGGAAAAACTAAGGAAAAACAGAAGAAAAAAGGATGGTAATCTTCCTAATTTTTTATCGCCAAATTTGTTGTTCTTTAAACATAGTTCTGGATATAATAAATGAGATAGCATCCATATAATGATACAAGTAGAGAACAATTTTCAACATGTATAAGATGCAACAGAAATTTTGTTGGCTGTTAGTCTATCACTTATGACTGCATCTCATGAGTAACAAATCTAATAAAACAAGTGTGGTGTGGAACATGGAAAATTTGTGAAAGAACTCTGGTTTTAGCTAAACAATTCCGAGCATTGCAAATTTAAAGAAACACAGGATAGTTACCACATCTAAAGGAACCAATCCTATAATAGAATACTATCAAAAATTATGATGGTAACCCATGTAGAAAATATGCAGAGCAAACCTCTTCAGAGTCTTCATGGTGAGTAGCAACTTGACTAAAGTTGATTTCTGAAGCTATAGATAACCCAACCCCATGAAACGAAATTTCTCTCCGCTCTCCAATTTCTTTTTCAACCTGGAGAAAGAGATTGTGTTTTTATCAAGTTTGAGGAAAAGAAACACAAAAAATAATAAATGAAAACTGTAAGAGAAAAAAGTCAGAGATAAGAGCCTACCTGGGGTGGTGGGGGCATTAAGTCATGGCATATCAATGCTAAAGGGTAGATGTGACCTGGAATACCTGAATGATCTACAAGTCTTCTCATATTGTCTACTGAAGAAACATCAAAGGGTGCCTGCCCCCAATAAATTGGTAAAGGAGATTGATAAAGATAAGAAATGGAAATTAAGCATATGTCAAACATAATGGTTTTAAACTTTAACTATTGATATATGTAAGTTTTACCATACAGGACGGAAGAAAACTAGATTATTTTTGAGATTGAAATAAATAAAAGCCAACAGTGTAGAAAGAACATGACAGCTCTAAATAGGACACATAGCATTACACCAAGAAACAAGAAACCTGAGATCTATGTTTATAAGAGTCATAAGAAGAGTAGCCCTGTAAACTAGCGGATAAGAATTTGGCGCCAAATCATTGACCATTCAAAAGTAAGTAATTCACTTGGGATTCCACAGGTTGCATCCTCAAGTTATATGAATGATAGACAAAAAAATATATTGCCCTTTAACAATCCTCTCGGCATCATGAACATTGCAGCATTGGAGACCAGGAAACCCTTGATCAGTTTGTAGATGTGGACATTATTCCTACTTGGAAATTATCCAAATTCTAAAAGAGGAGTAGCAGATTTTTACTTTTTATACTTGACATGTAAACAAATTTTCCATCCAAGCGAGATCCATTGTGGCCTCTCCAGGCTTAGGAGAGAGATCAAGTGTTATGAATTGGTTATGCTGTATCTCAATTTTAGTCCCTTAGCATATTCTTTTATTCCACCCACTACAAAATAAAATAAAATAACAAAGCTCTTTCATTGAAAGGGTCCAAATAATGAGTTATCACTTATGAAAAAAAATAATCAGTTATTTCAACAGATTGTCACCAATCTGTCTTTACTTACTTTAAATTGCATATTGCTGCCAAGTATTTTGGGAGTATTTGTGAAATTGAGAATAATAAGAAATCAGCCTTCTAATGCTGATTGTAGAATCTGGACAACTAATGCATTGGGGATGTTCACTTGTGCTGCCACCTTTTAGAATGCTCTCTCCTCTGACCCCTTCTGCTCAATCTTTCCTAGTTAAGGAAATTTGGAAATTGGAGCAACTCAGTTCCAATCAAAATTAGGGCTGTTGGGACTTGGGACTTGGGAGGTGTACTACCAAAAGATTCACACCTTTGAGATGTTGCAAAAAATATCATATTTGTGTTTGTCTCCTCTTATCTACCCCTTCTTTATTGGTAACTTCTACTTTTTATCTATCCTTTGTGTTTTGCGTGTGAGGAATCTATCTACCATCTATTAATCTCCTATCGGTTTGCAGATGGTATTTGGAAGGGATTAATTGATCTTTTCAGGTGCAGGTGGAGCACTCCTAAGGATCTTGGACCTCTCTTGAAAGGCCTTTCCTCTCCATCATCAACAAAGAAAGGCAAGATTATTCAAAGATGCACTAGGTCTGCAACCTTCCGAATGATGCAGGAAAAAAGAAATAATTAACTGTTTGGGAGAAAAGGAAGAACCCAAGAAAAGGTCATGGGAAGTATCCAAGTGAAGTGGACTGAATTCAGCAGCACAAAACTTTCTTTAATTCAAAGGAATAGGTGAAATAAGAAGTGTAAAGAGACTGGGCCGAATGGGCCCTAACAGCTGCTTGTGTGATATCCTTTATTTTTATCTTTTATTTTATGTTGATGGGCCACACTTAATGGGCCTGTTATTTGTTCTTGTTTTATTTTCTTTATGTAATTGCCAAGCTGGCCGCCCACTTAAGGGCATACTTGTCATCATTAATTTTTAGAGATTAATAAAATAGGGTTAGAGGAGAAGGGTGAATTATTCAAATTCTTCTTCTCTTTGACATACACAGCTCTTGCACTATTATTCAGATCTGATTTGCACTGTTAATTACTGATTTTAAACCTGATATTAGAAGACTGATTCACATCTAGAAGGAAAGGAGTGAAGAGAGAAGAGAAAGAATAGAAAAGAGAGGAGAATAGATGGGAAAAAGAGCAGAACAGATCGTGAGGTTCTTGGAGTCCCCACTATCTTTTATACTTGAGTAGTAAGAATGATAAAATTACAGATTCCATCCCACCAAATGAAGGCTTTTGTAAAATTAAACTTTGGTGGCTACAGTTTGGGTAATTGTGGAGCATTGGGTATTGGAGGAGTTCTTAGAGATCATAATGGATATATATAGATAGATAGATAGATATTCGCAAAGTACTCGGGCCTGTTTTCTTATAGGAAGAAGAGAAGAAAGGCTGTTTGGGAGACAAAACTCAGGCTGGCAGCGCCCAGCTCTCTATTTATAACAATGAGATTAAAAATAAAAGAAGGAAATTACATACTTGCCCCTGGCAGCACACCCTAATAAAAAACAATAAGAAAAAACAACAAACAAGCCAACAGCACCCTAGAACTAACAGCAGAAATGACTATAACAGCACAAATAACTCTGAAATCATTCTAACGACACTCCCCCTCAAGTTGGACTGAATATATCTATCAAGCCCAACTTGTCACATAGCTCATTTTGTCGCAAGTATGAAAGTCCCTTTTTGAGAACATCAGCCATCTGCTCCTTGGAGTTGACATACGGAGTGCAGATTTCACCCTTTTCCAATTTATCTCTTATGAGTTATGAAGTGCTTGTCCACTTCAATGTGTTTTGTCTTGTCGTGTAGAACAGGGTTAGTAGCAATGTTTATGGCTGCCTTATTATCACAGTAGAGAGACATAGGGCTGTTAACTGGGAACCCAAGCTCCCCTAGTAAATTCTTCAACCAAAGCGCTTCAGCCACCCCATGTGCCATAGCCTTATACTCAGCTTCAGTACTAGACTTTGCAACTACATTTTGTTCTTTACTCCTCCATGCCACTAGATTTCCTCCCACAAATGTGCAGTACCCACTTGTAGATTTCTTGTCATCCACAGCACCTAGCCAATCGGCATCTATATAGACTTCCACTTTCAGATGACTGTGCTTACTGAATCACAACCCAGTTCCCACATACTTCTTTAAGTACCTGAGAATTCTTTCTACAGCCTCCATATCTGGTGTCTTAGGGGAATGCATAAACTGACTTAGAACTCCAACCAAATAAGCTATGTCTAGACGTGTCATAGACAAGTAAAGCAATATTCCCACTAGCCTTTGAAATTGTTTCACATCTTTCAGTGGTTCACCATCACAATCACCCAATTTATGATCAACATCCATAGGGGTGTCCAGTGGCTTTGCACCCACCTTGTCTATGTCTTGTAACAGATCTAGGATGTACTTCCTTTGAGAGATGAAGATACCCCTTTTTGAGCAAGCAACCTCAATCCCAAGGAAGTACTTTAGAGGACCCAAATCCTTCACCTCAAATTGGGAAGACAATAACTCCTTCAACTCTTGTATTTCAGAGCTTAATTCCTCGTAATGATGATATCATCCACATACACTATCAGTAGTGCAACCTGTTCCTGAGACCTCTTAACAAAAAGAGTGTGATAAGACTGCCATTGTTCGAATCCTACCTGCTGAGCTGCCATATGAAATCTACTAAACCATGCTTTGGGAGATTGTTTTAGGCCATATAGAGGCTTTCTCAACTTGCACACCTTATTCTCACTTCCTTTGGCATAGAAGCCTGGTGGTTGAACCATATAAACTGCCTCCTCTAGATCACCATTTAAGAAGGCATTTTGTACATCAAGTTGATGCAATTCCCAATCAAGATTTGTAGCCAATGATAACAAAACCAAATTGAATTCATCTTTGCTACTGGAGAAAATGTCTCATCATAATCAATACCATAAACTTGAGTGTACCCTTTGGCTACCAGCCTTGCTTTGTACCTTTCTACTGTTCCATCCACCTTGTGTTTCACTGTAAACACCCACTTACACCCCACAGGGTCTTTCCCTTTTGGAAGATCCACCAACTCCCAAGTGTGATTCTTATGGAGGGCATTAATCTCCTCCTTCATAGCATTTGTCCATTCAGGGTAAGTCAGAGCCTCTGTCACATTTTTGTATGGGAATACTATCAGCAACAGATAAGAAAGCGCGGTGAGAGGGGGAAATATGGTCATATGATACATAGTGGGTAATGGGGTGTTTGGTAGTACACAATCTAACTCCCTTTCTATGAGCAATCAGGATGTCAAGATCATCCACAACCAAAACAGGAACAAGGGAATCAACAGGGATAAGGGTGTCTAACTCATTTGGACTTACCTCCTGAGAGTCTAATGGCATCGATTGCATAGTATCCGGTAGCTCTACATCTTTAGAACGCTGCTGGTTTCTACAGCACATACGTAGAAAAGCATGAAATGGAGCTAGATCCGGAATAGAGGGAAGAGAAACTTGGTAAACTTGTTTTTCCTCCTCCATACTACCTTCCCCCTAAGGAGAAGTAGGGTAGAACGGTTCAAACTTGAAGAAGGAAACATCCATAGAGATGAAGTACCTACGACCAACGGAATCAAAACACCAGTATCCCTTTTGAGAGGAGGGATACCAAAGGAAAATACATAGCGTTCAATCCCGACAGAAAAGCAAAGGCTCATTGTTGAGATACCAACCTCTTATAGGCTTTGGCATCATCATCATTCTTCCATTCTACAGTTTGATAGTGATCCAACTCCTTCCAAATAGAGGTAAGAGTTGAATAATAAGCTGACAAACTATGGTCACCTTGTTTACAAGTTGAGGACTCAGCATGTAACTGATAAATCTTAGCATAGTGTCTTTGCTTAGTAGGTTGTTTTGGTTTGTTCCCATATCTCACTTGTAGTCTCTGCCCATATAAAATTCTTCTTTACCCCTGGTTCCATGGCTGCAAGAAGCCAAGACATCACCATACTGTTCTCCTAGTCCCACCTATCAGCTGTCCCACTTTTAGGTTCTTTCACTCTCCCAATTATGTATCCAGGTTTTCCCCTAGCTGTAACATATAGTTTCACACTTTTAGCCCACTCTAGATAGTTTAGACCATTCAAAGTGGTGATTGTCATCGGAAAAAACATATTCTCAGCACCCATACCAACTGTACCACAGGTTGTAACCTCAGATGAAGTTGAATTAACAGTTTCCATATTAAGCAGGT